TTAATCACAGTTAATAAAGTCATAAAAGACTACACTTTTTGAATGAATCTTTTTGTACCACAATAAAATTTGTAAGTACACATAGTAGTAACATGTCACTTCCGTAACCAGTCCAATTTTTTGATATACTAAGCAAAGGAACCTTTCAACAACGCAGATTCTATTTAGAAAAAAAACAACAAAACTCTTGGGCTATTGCTATGATGAGAATCTTAAGTATTTGTATTGCAGATCTTAACGCCACTAGATGTACCTTATTTACCTCCAGGGTTTCAACCAATTGACATAAAAAATAATGTAAATTTGTATTTTACTTATAATGCTTGCGCGGACGAAGCGGTAGTATTAATTTACAAAAAGCTTATTTAAATAAGCCTTGTTTAAATAATAATTATATAAATAATAATTGTATGGTGAACGAATATCTTGATTTAGCTTGACTTGTATGATAGTAACAGCTGCATTTTCTACCGAATATGGGAAAATCTCATAAATTTAATACGTCGGTTTAAAATACTGTGCTTTTTTATTGCTGTATTTCTCATACAAATATGAAAAACTACATGAATAGTGTGTATATTTCTGAAGGATATAAACTAGAAAGGCGAGTAGTGACTGCAAAAAAACCTGAACTAAAAATACAGTTTACAAAAATATTTTATTTAATAGTGAAAATCTGAAAGCACCTTTTTGACACCACCGAAAAAAGCATATCGTAAGAAAGTAATATCAAATAACTCTGTGAGTAATTCAATTTACATTTAAATTCGAAATATATTTATAGAAATCCCAATATACAAAGTTGAAATCTGCAGAGCGAAATATAATTTTACTCCACCTATACTAAAAAATTCTTGAATTACACTACATTTTAGTATACTATAGCCCAGATTTAATATACTATGAGTATCTACAACCCACACTATTGCATATGTGAAAGACAGATTCGCTTATGGAGCAGTCAGAAAGAACGAAATTGCGACACATAATGTATAGAGTATTGTTAACAGAATAGATTGATTTAATAATGTATTGTGTACATATTGTACAGAAATCGAACCTGTAACTTTCGAGAGACAAGCAGTTAGTACTACCAATAAACTTTTTTAAGCGCCATTATTCCTTTTTTTTATATTCCTTACAAGGCATAACTTGCAAAATAGTTTAAATTTCACATTAACAAAAACGTAGAGTGCTTTTAAAAAACACCAAAAATGGTGACAAAATATTTTTCTCTCTCACGAACATATTCTAAAATGTTAAACGCAAGTGAAGTGACCTCATAATTGCGAGGTTAAAGGGCTGAAAGGGTCTGGTATCATAGCTCTGAATACGGGGCTCGGAATTAAAATACGCTCTACCTCACCTGACTACGTTGCATTTACAAGTCGAGCCGTTTATAACATTGTATGTACAGTAACAATGAGCCTTTAAGTGTTGTATTATTCGAGCTTTTGATTTATTTCTTGAATATACGGATGGAAAACTAAATTTCTTATTCAAAAAGCACTAATATATAACATTATATTTTGTAGATCTATATGTGTATAGAGCTTAAACAAAGAACTTTTGGTTAATTTAAGTTTACGTTTAAGACTAAGATGAGGGTATATGGTAATATGAAGAAGCAAAAGACCTATGCCATTCTATTATATCATTACGCAAGGAGCATAATTTTAAACATACAAATGATGAGTATTATAGCTATCACAGTGCTCTAGTGACGTAGATACAACTAAATAGCACTGTCTATTACGCTAGAAGACCGAGGTCGGTATCAATCAAACTTATTATGATCAGTGCAAGTATTCATTCAATAAATATTTTAGTTAATTTCTATTGTTACAAATTATGTATAGAACTAATAAAACTAAATTAAAATTATGTTTTATTACAATAATAAGGTCTTCATTTTGTACGCAATAACAATACAGAAACAATTTTCCATTACTATAAATAAATATTTTAATTTTATAATGAACTTTCTATGAAAGAAGATTTGTAACCCTCGTCTTAAAACAGCGTAGTATTTTCGTTAACAATGAAATGTGCCGAAGGTAGCGAAGTGTATTATATTATTAATAGATATTTTATACATATAACAAAATTCTAACTGAGTTGAATCTGTACAGCGAGGGTGAGTCGCTAGTATTAAATACTTGCTTCCCTTGCTTGCTTCCCAATACAAACTTTCATCCCCATTTTCACCCCCTTGAAGGATGATTTCTGGAATAAAAAGTATCCTATGTCCTCCCCAGCGTCTCAAACGATCTTCTTACCAAATTTCATCTAAATCGGTTCAATAGATCCAGAGATTACCCCCTACAACGCCACACACTCATAACGTCACAAACTTTACCTCTTTATAATATTAGTATAGATAAAGTAGCGAATTGTATTATTTTCTCTATCGGGTACACAGAGCTGCTGAGAAAAATATATGATAAAAAATCAGTTATAAATACGAGTTCACGACTCAATGACTTCGAATTCATAAATATGAATAAACAGAATATAAAATATTTTTTTCTTTCAATGGTCTTGAATTAAAATGCTCGGTGCTAAGCTTTTAATGTCAAGGTTGTCGGATTCAACGGCATGTTATTAAACGTAGTAAAAACGATGAAAATGTGAAATGTTTTCGTAGTTATACAAACATATGATTATAACAGATTCTGATTAAAATTTTTCATTAAAAATAACCCGCTCAGTTTTCACTAAACACTTAACAAAATAATCTCTTAAATTTTTATAGCGAACATACATACATACATACATACATACATACATACGTACATACATACATACAAATTTTAGCATTCGCATTTCATTTTCCTTTAAAACATTCGGGACCGCAAAGATAGTTTATCAATCATATATAAATCAAAAATTCAATATCAAAATTATAAAATTGATTTTAATTTATACATTTTGATTTCAATAGTATAGACTTTATACAAAAAAAATTAAATGTATCGAGGAGCTGTTTATTTGGCGTGTGTGTAATGTAAGAATATACAGGTTGGAACTAATGGATGACACGTAGAAGAAAAATACCTCAAATATTGAAGATATCTATAATTTAAGAAAACATCCTTTTATTTAAAATAACAAAATAATATTAACTTCATTTATTTGTAAAAAAAGCTTACTCGAACTGATAATATAATCGAACTAACTAAAAATGCAAAAAATATATCGACCCTATGTTATCGAACTAATCGATAGGGACTATGGTAAGGATAAAATATCTCGAAAAAACAATGTGATGATGTTCTCCTAGCCGATTCCGGCCACGGCGGCCAATCTCAACGAGATTAGCCAACTGCGCAGGAGATATTATAGTGCTCAAGTGTACGCGCAGACACAAGTGCACTCTCTATTCCTATCACTCTCATACTCCGGTGGGACGACCACTCGACACGACCGGTAAGAGTTAAGGCGCAGGACCGACGGCTTTACGTGCTCTCCGAGGCACGGGGGTGAAACATCGCCAACTTCCCAACTCCGGGCTGTTACTGAGACTTACTATACAGGAAGACTCAATAACTAAACTTGGCCCGACCCGGGACTCGAACCCAGGACCTCCGGGTGTGCAGCCGTACATGCTAGCCACTACACCACCGAGGCAGTTTGTAAATAACAATTAAATAAATCCATGAAATCTTAAAATTTAAACAAGAATTTGTTCATATTTAATATCTATAAGTTAAGATTTATACTAATGAATACCCAAATATGTTTTACAACCACACATACAGTACAGTATGGTATTAGGTTTATAGAAATATTTACATTAAATTAAGCCGTGATTTTATCTCTGTTATATACTGGACTGTAGTATACAAATACATATGTATGTATATAACTTATTATAGAATAAGCAAGGTTTCCTTAAATTGGGACACGAGGTAAAAAATCACGATTAAAATTAACAAAAAGTGAGCGCTGACTTCGTCCCCATTTTCACAAAGGTTTATTGCGGACGGCTTTTAAAGGTATATTTTTTATATAACAGCATTCGATCCGACCAAGACAAGCTAAACAGGCGAGTCTAACGTTTTATTTAATTTTGCTCGGTAAATAAAATTAAAATATCTGCCTATAATGTCAAGATTATTTTAATAATTGTATATACATATGTATAATAATTGCGTCCCAAAATAAACTTTCATCCCCATTTTCACCACCTTGAGGGATATTTTTCGCAAAAAAAAGTATCCTATTCCTTCTCAGGGTCTAAAACTATCGTCTTACGAAAATTCATCTAAATTGGTTCAGTAGATCCGGAGATTACCCCCTACAACCTCACAAACTTTACCTCTTTATAATATTAGTATACATTCAACATAAACTACGAGTATGTATTAAGCCCTTAATATTATTATGAATATTTCCACGAAACCTAAATATAACTATTACTATAGTATTATGAATTAATGTATTTCTTTATACCTACTTATTTAAGAGAAAGACAACTGATTTCCGGTGATTTCAAAAAAAAAAAACATTATGTAATGCCTGCATTTTGACAACAATGTAAATATCATAATACTTCGACCCAAAATAATTTACTACTAGCATTAAAAGTTGTTAAAATCGGCCCATCATTTTAATTAAAGTTATAATAACCACTTTATCCACTTACGTTAACAAGAAAAAGTTACAATAGGACTGAATTTACGAAGGACGCTCAAAAGAAATTGTAAGTGGATTCTCCGATGAAGCGGCCCTACAAATAAATATTATTACATTTTGCCAGTTCACGCAGTTTACGAAGCCTCCGATAGAATTTTTAATAAATAAGTAATAGAATTTGAAATGAAAGTTACGTGTAGTAATTTAGTAATATATTTGTTTTTACAAAAAAGTTATTTAAAAAAAATATCTTTTTTAAGCCAAGTAGAATAATTAAGTAATTCTATTCAGCACACCAATTCTGAACGAGACCTCCACTTTATATAGGAGTACGTGAAACTGCGGGCTCAAATTATATGCTAGTTTAATTCAAACGTACTATTAGTATTAACATTGTTATATTCAACAATATTGTAATCGTTATGATAAGGTGAATGATTAAACAAACCGACAAAGCCCTAAAAATTGTTTTTAGCTTATTTCAAAGATCATTGGAAAATGTGTTTTGGTGTACATACTAGAGTCTTGTGAGCTACCATCTCATAGAGTAAAGACGTATTGTAGCAGTGCGCATGCCGTTTCTTTTCGTTCAGTAAGAATGACAACGGTAGAGCTAACACACAGACAATACAACCTAATATCTGTAAGCTAACATAAGGTAGCAACGCGTTCAGTATCAGACTGGGCCATTGATATACAAAAACATAGATGCACATTTTCTAACAAATATCTCTATAAAAAGTGGCATGTGACGTTAAATCAATATATACATATAGTAAAAGTGTGCGTCGAATCTGTACGTTAGTTAATATTTTTTTGTAAATTTTATGGAAATATTAATAAATATCGTTACAGAGGTCGAATCTATGGTTTTTAGAATTTTAGTCTGTTTGTCTGGAAACGCATCACGAGAAAACCACTAGACAGATTTTGATAAAAGTTGGTATGATGATAGCTGGTAATCCGGATCAACATATAGGATACTTTTTACGGCGGGAAAATATCTCATCTCTTAGAAATCTATACTAAACGTTAAAGCGTAACCAAACGTCACGCTAGTCAAAAAATAAAATTCAAAAATCCAAAGTTTTAATTGTCTAAACACAAATTACAAATTCAAACTTACGCACACAACATAAAGTACTTTTTTTAATGAAACAAAGTGCGTTTTATTTTGTCATCCGAAGAGCAATGAACAAAAGAGATTTAAAAAAGCGCAATTCAATTTCGAATAGTGCACTTTCTATGAGGACACTTTTGAGCCGCTAATTGTATATATTGAGTTTTTATATATAAATGAACTGGGCTCCTAACCTATTAAAAGTTAGTCTTTTTCTACGAGTGACATTTATTTTTCTTTGCATTTTCTATAATACTGTAACTAATTTTACTACATTTCAATAACTGTTTTGTGTCAAATAAGGAAACTATATACGTTTATTTATTATGTATATATAAAACATGTAGACTTTTTGACATACCTGTACTAAATCCCCATGTATGCCACCAGCAGCAGTTATTGTAAGCAGGCACACATAAGGGACGAGGTCTTCCCTTGGTCTGTGAAGCTCAAGCTCGTATGTACGTCCGATATCGCCGTAATATGTTTTGTTGCAGCCTGGTAACAAAATATTATTATTATTATTATTATTATTGATATTAGTATATAAAATACCTTGCTTGTAACTCAACTGGCACATTTTGAAGCCATTAACAAGAGAATTGAATAAATAACCGCTAAATTTGTCTGGCGATTTGAAGGTATTATTGAAATTACTCAATAAATATGTGATTAAAATTTCAGATTGCCAAAAGTATATTTTTAGGAATTTTAATAAAATATCTTTAGAGAAGTCTCGTAATACTTTATAACTGACAAGAACGTTTGGGGTTCTTTTTTTTAATTATATAAAATCTAAATTAAAAGGATAAACAAAAATCGAGATGCCAAAAATATATTTGCCAATTGAGCAAGCGTAAATATTGTTTTATATATTTTTAATTAATTGTCAATTAATATATTATATATAATAATTAAGAACAAAATAAAAACGGCCAAGTGCGAGTCGGACTCGCGCATGAAGCAAACGGCAAAAAAATCACGTTTGCAGTATGGGAGCTCCCTTAAATATTTATTTTATTCGTTTTTTTTGTATTTGTTGTTATAGCGGCAACAAAAATAAATCATCTGTGAAAATTGTCAATTGTCTAACTATCACGGTTCATGAGATACTACTTCTAAAATATCTGATTAGGTATCTATTCTAAATGAAAACCTCCGTTTAGTAATTTTATACATTTTAGTGCCTGGAAGTCGTTTTTTTTTAAGTTTTTATTTTTCCATTTTAGACGTAATAAGTAGGTAAAATTTTTTAAGAAGAGAGTTTTTTAATAACATATTCGAATAAGCAATTTATTAAAAAACATATTTATTGTTGATTTTTTATAAAAACCGCTCGACCGATTTCGATAAAATTTATATGGGACCACTTGGGAAGCATACCCTTTGCAACAAAAAGAAAAATTCCAAATCGGTTCAGGCGTCTTCGAGTAATCGGTGAAAATAATAATGATTCGGACGAATTGAGAACCTCCTACTTTTTGGAAGTCGGTTAAAAAGTACTAATTTTATGCTATTGATACTCCTAATCTTGTTTTAAATTGATTTAGAAAAACTATTAGTGCACTTAGTTTTTGTTTAGAGGTTATATTATATATAAATATATTGAAAACCCTTATCGGGCTAGTAATTCCCTTTTTTACTGTACGATATATCCATACTAATATTAAAAATGTGAAAGAGTGTTTGTTTGTCCTTCTTTCACGTCGAAAGGTAGTGACGTATTGGCGTGATTTTTTGTGTGGAAATAGTTGGAGGGCTGGAGAGGGACATACGCTACTTTTTATCGCGATAGATCATCTCATTCCCATGGGAAAACACGTTACAATACAATTAAAAAAATATGATCAGAATTATTTGAAACTTGGTATTAATGCTCTTCGATAAAATAGGGCATGAAAGTTTGTATGAAACTACCTTTTTAGACAATTTTTTTTGTAGTTTTAGCGCGAACGAAGCCGTGGGTTCTGCTAGTAATTAATAAATTCGTGAGCCAGAAAATTGTGGTTTCCGTGAAGAATTTTAGCGCTAAGAAAAATACCTTTTCCCGCTTGGCGCGACCATGACCCATTTTCTTTGTGAAATACTTCTAGCTGGAATTAGCATACTTTTAAACCTTAAATCCTCACTATTTTCATGGTTATTTTAAATATATATGATTTGCTTTGCAGTGTAATATAATGACGTAACATGGAACATTTTGTGGTCTTTTTTTTTAATTTTAAATTATCTTTAATATATTTGTAAAACGAGTAAACATTATTTATTTATATTTTTCATGAAAAAAGCTATACTGCGTCAGTCAATCCGCTTTTTTTATTAGAAAATGATTAATTATTCATACAGTCAAACTTTAACCAGAGCTTTAATTCAAATAATAACTAGTGTTCACACGACACAGAGAGTAGATACGGCTCCCAAACTTTTGGAAGCATTGAGTGTAACGGCAACTTGTACTTTAGAATAAAGTTCGGTCTTGTATGAAAGCTTTCAAGTTGATTGCCGAAACAATAAATGTGAGTCTCAGACTAGAACGATAAAACTTTGTCTTTAAAAGATGAGTTTATTTTACCAAGAACAAAATATAGGTAAAGTTACATGTGATTGGTATTCTAAAAAATACGAGTGAATTATACAAATGTATTATTACATATTGTTATTTATTATTATTGCTATATTACAAAAAGTAATTCAGGTTGCTGTTGATGCTTCTTTGATAGCAGAGTGGACAGTGTGATCCCTTTGATAGTTATGGACGGGAAGAAAGGTAATCTCATTAAAAATTACCCCTAATCCCAAGGTTGGGAATATATGGTCGGGGTCAGCAGGCTTTATCAAAGACTAACGACACATACCCTCGCTTCGTGCCTAACAACAGCCAATAAAGTAAATTAAGGGCATTTTTATGAGGTAAAAAATAGCCCATAGCACTCGACGGTAATATAGCTTTCTATTAAAGAAACAATTTTAAGAATCGGATTAATACTTTAAGAGATTACTCCCGTACACACATACAAACTTGTAAAAATTGACCTCTTTAATATAGATATACTTCTAATCTATACATATAATAAAATTCTAACTAAGCCGAATCTGTACATTAAAATTTTTTTGTAATATCTTATTACTAGCATTGCCCGCGGCTCCGCCCGCGTTCAGATGACCAAAAACTAAATTCTTAGGTGTTACATATTAGTATACTCTTACATTGCAGTTTTTGTATTTTTCCTCAGACATAAGATATTTTCCCGCGGTAAAAAGTATCCTAGGATCGCGCGCTACATCGCCCGGTTTATATAGCTTGAGCAGGCGGTCGAGCGATGCGGGGCAGAGGGGATGGACTCGCCGTAGGCATCTCAATGCTCGCCAAGCATTAAAAATGTTTCGCTACTAATTACTTCTAACAACGATATCTCAAAAACTATTCATCTGATTGATTTAGTGTAAAGAGCAATTTTAATCTGCATTAAATGACTAAGCTAACTAAAATATTCATTTGGATAAGGATTAATACCGAACTAAAGAAAATAACTTTGAAAATAACGTAATGTTTTTAATTAAAAATGTTAACATAAAAGTGGTTATTGTAAGTCAACCGTAAGAGATAGAGATATGCTATCGCGGACTTTTTTGTAGCATTTTTATAGATTTTGAATTCTCTAGTACATTACTTAACTGTATCTTTGCTAGTTTACGCGGCGTTCGCGTGGAAAGTTCCCATTTGGCGAGATTTTTTGCGACCTCTTCAACATTTGTCGCCGTATTTCAGCTAATTTACATAAAAGCATAATAAATTATATACCTAAACCTTCCTCAAGAATTACTCTTTCTATTGTTGAAAACCGTATAAAAATCCGTTCAGTAGTTTTCGAGTTTATCGCGTACAGACAGACAGGAGGACAGACAGGAGGACAGAAAGACGCGGCCGGGGGACTTCGATCTTATTATAATAGACATTATTTTCGATACAGAAGCCAAATCAATCGTTTTTAGAATTTTTGTCTGTCTGTCTGTCTGTTACCGCACCACAGAAAAACTACTAGAGGGATTTTGATAAAATTTGGTTTCTTCAACATATAGGATACTTTTTACCACGGGAAAATATCTCATTTTTGAGAAAAAATACAAAAACTGCAATGTAAAAATATACTAATATGTAAAACCTAAGAATTTGGTTTTTGGTCATTTGAACGCGGGCGGAGCCGCGGGCAATGCTAGTAGTAAATATTTTCGTTAGGTCAGCCGTCGGGGCGAGGTTGAGGACAAATGTGATCCTGCAGCGCCTCATTAAGACGAAGAAAGGTTGGTTCTGTAAGATACTCTAAGCTTAAATAACCCTTCTTTGCATATTTACCGCCTATGTTGAGGCAATATGCTCTAGATATAGATAATAATATATGTAATATGTTATATGTTACCAGATAAGGATAAACACAGTGTGAATAATTCATATTATTTTAATAATTATCCATAAGAAAACTGAACCCTTGAGTACAATCTAATGTAGTAAGATAACTGTATAGACATATCACTATACCATAAATCACTTATAATTATTATATTTATATAAATTAAAAAAAAATTAAATTGTTGTACAATAAAAGAATTTATACTTTAAAAATATTTTCGATGTTAAAGTCAATATTTTATTTTCAATACAATAATAGTGGAGAGTCACGAAACGGGTGACCTGTAAATGGACGTATCAGCAAACATTTCTAGGCCTTTGTCATAAAGGCCGAAAGGTGACAATGATATTTATTGTTGAATAAATGTCAGCCAAAGCTATTTCGAATTGTTTTTCTTTTGATGTTTTATTTCATAATAAAGAAAGAGTGTTACGTTAACACAATAATAACGAAAGGTGGCAAATAAAATACTAATTATTAAATTAGTTTTACTTCATAATACATATTATGTATATAACAATGTATTTATGTTTTTCTTTTCTTTTTATTATTGTTATTATAAGCTTGTGGTGTTCCATTGAATAGACCAATCTCACTGAAAGGAATCCATATTATCTTTTTAGTACGAAAAATTCAATTGAATTAAAAATTCTTAGAAACAAAGTTTTGTATTTAAATTTCATTATATTTTTTATAATTTTTACATTAAAAAAACGAATATGATCTCAAATTCTATACTATTATAGATAACATTACGGACTAATGAACGCCCGCGTTTCTACCTCGTGTTACGATGACTACACAACACCAATAAAAATCAAGTTGAACCCTTTTTCTGGAGATAAAAAGTAAGTATTGACTAAGAATAGATCCCAATAGCATATAATCTTTACTGTTTCTACTTATACTCAGAAACCACAAAAGGAAGATTATTATTATTTCTTAGAAAGCATCATTAGAAACATCTATCCGCCATGAAATTTCTTGTGAAATCGGTAGTTGTTCTGGTGATTTATCACAATAGTTACTATTTCACTAAGAGGCAAACCAACTTCCAAATCATCTCAAAACTAAATATTTCATCCTTAA